TAGAAAGGCTGATGGAGAATATATCTGTTGCCTAAGATATATTCGAGACACGATCCCAATGTAAGTCTGCGAACGAGGTACTACGAAACACGAATCATGAAAAATAATAGTCAACGCAAAATCACTCGTCTAGCAACCGAAGAAAACCGCTGACAACAATGCTGCAATGGGCAAGTTTATAGATCGAATAAAGTGATTGGAAAATAGTTTGTTAAATAAAATAAGCAGAAGAGATTATTTAGCAACCAAAGAATTATCAGCTTTACCTAAAAAAAAAAGTAGATTATGCAAACTCAAAAAATTAGACTTTTATTGTTCAAAAGAATGAATAAATTATATGAGATTAGATTTAGAGTTCTGTAGATAATGAGCAAAAGTGTAATTTTGTTTTCTAGATCTTGGCAAACTGACTCTCCTTAACTTTTATACTGCTCTTACTACTTATTATTATCAAATAATAGCTCATAATACTCTGATAAAGAAAAATAATTATTTTGATAAATTTGATAAGTAATTTTTTCTTACGATTTTATCTTAATCAATTGGAATTTTAGTCATGTTTGTCATGGTATAGTAATAGGTCTAGAACGCAACCATGGATTCAGGCAGCTGTGCTTTAAAAAAGTTTTCAAAAAGCATCATCAGTTATATTAGTAATTTCTCAGCCACACCAGCCATTTTGAGTTCATGTGATCAAATGTTGGTTTTGTTGATGTCTTTAATAGATTCGCTGCTTATGCCTGATAATTCTTGCTGACAATAATTCCGTGTTGCATAAACGAACCTAAACTCGTTTAATCAGGATACTACTTTTTATTGCACTATTTATAAATAGAAAGACTATCAATATACTGTTTATACGATAATATTATTAGATACCGTTAACTATACCATTTAGAGCGAATACGTGTATATAACACATATTTCTGATCTATAGACATTTTTGACTTTTTTACTTCCTGTTCTTCATTAGTGTTAGCTAGTCCGGGACGTAACTTTATTGCTTTACGGTTGGAGTCTGGGGTTTGGGAGAGCGATTAATCTTTCGCGTAGGGTGTTTTTCCGACCGAGGGCTATTACCAGATTGGCTTCGTGCTACCGCCATTTTTACGGTAGTTGTTCAATTAAGACTGAATTATAATTAAATTTGCGCGCTTCCTAACTCCCTACCCGAGCTTCAATCACTCGTGATTCCAAATAAGGGTACCCACGATAGAATAACAACAACAATTATTCTACCGCAGAATCAAAGGGTAAATAAATCTATTTTAAATTAAACAGGGCTTTCTTCGATTTGGTATTTCGACTAGTCGGGTTCCGTCACTTGTCTCTAAATTACTAATTAAACAATTTCCGTTTCAATAAATAATTGTTGGCTCTCGTTCCTCAATTAAGAGTAATAGATCAACGGACAACTTATACAGCTTAAATGAGCCGTTTATTAGTAATAATTAATATAAAGAAAGTGGAGTTTCGATTTCAAAGGGAATCGTTTATTTGGAGTGGGAATTATTGTTCTAATAACCTGAACAATATTTATAACAACATGAACAATATTTACAACATATACAAAATGAGAATTCGACGATGGGATAAGGATCGCTTATATACTGTACCTTTAGCGACACTCAAAAATCGAAACGAAGCTAAAATAATTAAATAATCGTTATTTCTATGAAGAACTAATCATATTCTAAGTTAGCTAATGGCGTTTGTGCTGACACTCAAAAATCGAAACATTTTCTGCGCCTGACAACCCAAATTCGACACGGTGCATCTGACATTGAAATGCACGACCATTCTAAAATTAATGTGATTTTGCTTGACTGCGGAGGAAGATTTTACCATGTGACTCGCTTATAGATCGACTTGCCGTAACAGATGGCCGACTTATTAAGAGTACATCCAGTAAAACCTCCATAAATGCAACGGGGACGGAGCATTTATGGGGGTTTTGCATTATGGAGGATTTCTTTAATAGGAAAGATGTGTCTATTGCATACACGTTATCACATGATCAGATTACTCAAAAATTTTTTATATGTTATCGCTATCATTTTACAATGAAGAAACTACATTAAGCAATCAGAGAAGCAATAACTTTCGAGATAGAGAGAGATATTACCGCCTTAAGGTATTTAATATTCCAACTTTAACGTTTATATTGCCATTATTATTTGTCGCAACAGTCTAGAGGCTGTTCAGATGAGATTATAATTAGGAAGTTAACTAGCATAAAAAATACCATGCAAATGATTTATTCTGAGTCTCTGAAACAAAGCGCTGATACAGGAGTCGGAACATAGTACAAGGATACGCCTTGAAGGGTCGGACTTCCTATATCTAATTTTTCATCGATCTGGTTGATCTCTCTTTTTATAGTATGCATATGCAAATATACGTTGGTGGAGTTAGAGCCACTTTTGATGCATATATATGCACGTTCACGTTGGGTCCGTATTATTTCATCGACAATCATTTCACCGACAGTACATTTCACCGACAATTAACTACCAAAAAAGGATAACTTCGAAATAATGTTGGTGAATATTTGTCGGTGAAATGATTGTCGGTGAAATGATTGCCTCCCTTCACGTTATACTAAGGGACCGGGCTCCTTTATGCAAATGAACAGATTATGCAAATATACGGTATGCAAATAAACAGGTGACTGTATTAAACAAATTCCCTTATTATAATTGCCAGCTAAAGTTATGTAAAAAGGAATTGTGTTATGCGACTTTTGTTTTATTGAATTTCGCGAATGAATTTTTTACAAACTATCCCTCTTGTTGAATTAGATGTTGTTAAACTTTTCAATGCCTCATTACTCACCATTGGGGTTACTATCATTGTCTGCCTCTTCATCGTGTCATTTTCAGTTAGCTCAAAAACGATTTCTTCCTCTAGAAAAGATAAATACTCGTTTATTGTCGTTGCATCAGAAAAATTCAATCTCACGATGGATATAATGTGCGCGAGCGAATTGTGACGTTTGAAACTTTACATTGCATCGATCATTTTTCCGCATCACGTGAATCACGTGAGTAACACTTCTAGACTCGGGACGGAGCAGTTGCACTTATGGAGGTTTTACTGTACTTGATATATTTATTCGAAAGTGATAACTTCTATCTTCTTTGGCTTGAATAATTGTCATCTCCAGTCACTGTTTTCATTCGTAATGCACCTTTATATATTCTTGCTGAGAGCTGTTATTATTATGTATTCAGTCTAAATAATCCGACAGTATTGGTTCTTTCTGACGTCATTGTGATCTATGCTACAAGAATGGTTACATCATAGTGACACTCTCGATGCTCGCTCACGCTTACATTTGAACGCAAACGTATCGTCTTTTCTACGCAGGACGATACCATGAATACATGCTGTCATAGCTCCGAGCGTTCAATTTGTCGTTATGATTTAGTAGACCTTTGAACACTAACTGACTGCGCCGCATAATGACGGCATGAACAAATATGGTTGCTGAATTAGAGAAGGAAACTATGATTGGCCAGATACTTTTAATGCTGTTGGTGCTTTAATGCGTATATTAAGTGTCAACTTCTTTGAACTAACCGTAACAAAAGTCTTAGAGACTAACCTTATTTACGCTATTATTATTCTTACGGAGAACTTCGGAATAATTAATAACGTTTATTATTATTGTTGTTATTATTATTAGACCCTTGTGGCGTTAACTAACCTTTGTCTGGAACCCCCGGCGGTGCCCTCATCGGGTCCCGAGTTGATGTGGGCTATACTGAGCTTATCTTGATTAGTACAATCGACACTCGTTACATCAAAAGGTAACAGTGATTCATGATAATGATAATTGTGTTTACTAAACGGGTATCATGTAAATTACACTTCCCTTTCATTCTGCCCTCAAAAAATTTTATTGTTACCTTAGGAAGGACTTTGCTCCGATTAATTTTATCTTTGCTGACTTTTATTCACACGTATTGACCAAGTATGACGATATACATGCAAATCACTCCCCACATTCAACAGTTGACGTTACCCGTTGAATAACCGTTATTACGCCCCATGAAATATTCTCAATAGAAACGCCAGGATTGTATGTAACCCCTCATGGTACGAAAAATGATATGCCGCCCACATATAGTTATAAATAGAGGAGCGATGTCAGCTTGGATAAAGGTTGACTGCAAGTCAGTTTTGTATAATCACGTATACGTATTCTCATTGGTCGCTTGAAATTTAAACAACAGAGAAGAAATAAATATATATAAATATATATATATATATAACCGCACAATGTCCACATTCATGACGACATGCCCTATTCCATTTAATACTACTCAAAAATCTGGTATTCCTGAAGATGCTTTAACCAAACGTTCACAGGTCATTAAGAATAAGAAGAACAACAGTAATGTCAAGAACTTTATGGCCGTGCCACCTACTCCTCCCGATGAACCCATAATTGTACCATCCCAAAAACGTACAGTTACTTTCCAACTTCCCCCCGAAGTACTCGCTTACGATACGCCCGAAGAACTATATCTGCCATTATCCCCTTCACCACCACCCGAACTCGAATGTATTGAATTATCAAAAGACGTTCTAGTTCCTCTAATGGAACGCGATAAAGATGTGCGGGAACTTGTAACTAAAAACAAGACATTTTTCGATACAGTAAAGTCAAGTTTCGGTTCTGAAGAGAAATGGCAAGAGTTCAACAAAATCTTGCATGCTCCTCGTGTTGAGATGTGCGATAATTTGTGGATGAATTCCCTAACTGAGTATCTATGTCATAATCCAGCGTTATTGCAAAAGTTCAAGTACATCGTCGGGTACTTTGAAAGTGGATACAATGATGATGACTCCAACATCGAAACAGGATATTCGCTATCGTGGTCGCAAAACGAATACACCGACATCACGCTAATAAGAGCTTATGCAGAAAAACTACACCGGTTTGAGGAGTCATATCCGCAATTCTTTGTCAAAGCACATGAATGTCTGTCACAAGAGAAGCGATCTATATTGAAAAGGAAGAAAGAATGCAACATGGAATATGACCTGTTTGGTGAGTTTAAGGAGATTTTTTTTGCCGATCGGAGCGTGTTGGAAGATGATGATTGGGAGATGCAAGTGTATGATTGTCTTGATAATTGGCCTGATTTGGCGATGGAGTTGGAACGTATAATTGAGTATGAAGCTCAGGACAGTGATGTCGAGGACGACAACACTGAGTCTTCGGATGATGATGAGGAGTATTTTTATACAAGTTGATTAGCAGAGAGGGACGGTGGTTTAATAAGACGTTCTAAGAGCCATTCTTTTTAGTTAAGCTATTATCTTGCGCACATTAACCACCTCCGTAATACATAATAACTTTATATGCTGTTGAATCGGGGTTAGTAAATGGTAGAAGTTTATCAATAGGTGATAAGGCGAATATATAAGATTGCTTATACATTCGCAACTTGCCTGATAAACTGCTATCGCGCAAGAGGCTTTTTTCATTTAATGTCAAAGGTTGGTTAGTTTTCTGTACGTAAACCTTTGTTGTCAAGGTATTATTATTTTATTTCATCATATGTTTTATCTTACTTCTTGGATTCGTTTCTTTTGTTCTAAAGACTGTAATTTACAGCCAAGTTGTGCATTACGGCAAACAGAATAAACAGCAGAGTTACTGCGTTGACAGTGTTATATTGGACGTACCAGAAAGTGAATATTTGATATCGTATGCAGTTTAGGCAGCCAATATATCGATATCGTTGGAATTAATCACATCGGTAATATTGACATACCGTGAATAAGGAAGGACCTTCCCTGTAAAATTTTTAATCGCTTGAAAGCGGAAGGCCCTCCTTATTCACGAGTGGTTACGGTACTTTTTACCTCTTCAACACTTTTGTCAAATTATGATCAGGGCACAACTCGTATTGAAATCTAAGAAGTCGCTACCAAATTTCTCATATCTTTTCTAACTCATTCTCCTACGCCAAGGGATGCGGAGATTAGGATATAAGAAAGTCGTCGGGTCGGACCCCAACGCTAGTATAACGAGCAATTTCTTTTAACGAACTTTCGCGATCTAAGATAGTTCCATAATATCAATAAAAATATTTCATTTTGTAACACATATGCTATTGCTGTACTGAATGTCTTGGAAAGAACTGCTCTGCTTGAGGAATAGTACCAAAGAGCAAGCGCTTTCTTCAAGCTTTGGATATGATCCCGGTTTGCCAATTGCAATTGTTGTCCATTGTGAGCCGATGTGTGCTATTTTCGCATATTGTTTGACTCGTCAAAGTTCAGCCTTTTGGTTTCCTGTTAACGTTCTTCTTGTTGTTTTGCGAACTTGGGTCTTTTCGCGTTACAGGATTGTGTTATGCAGGATTTATTGGCTCGTTCTTACATCGAGCGTAACTTTCTCGAATATAACTTTTTTGTACAGGGGTTGCAAAAAAAAAAATAATAATATCATTTCTGCACAGCCAGCATTTCAAATGTCGCATGAGAAATATCATTTATTATGCATTATTATTAATTCGATCGCCATTATTTTCTAGCATTGAAATAGAAGTTCTAAGAATCTAGATGCATTTTCTCACATTTCTTTTAACAATGTGGCGCAAAGATTCAAAGTCGAACTATTAGCAAATTAGTCTATAATAAATTTAGGATAACAGTGTCGACACACAATTAATTGTATTTTACATGGTATAAATTGATTTATACATATATTTTATATGCATATATCGTCGCGGAATATGTATTACAAAATAACATTATAAGACACACATACAAATGACAAGGTGGGTTTTTTTTTTACTTCTTTTTTGCAAACCCCTGTATTAGTATACATGTATATAAGGTCCCGCAAGCACCGACGCGGCGTGAAGGTTTGCGTTGACAAGACACTCAAAAAGAAGACAAATACTAACTACTGGACTGTACTTAAAAAAAGTTTGTTTTTTGTGTTTTTTTTTTGTTTATTTTTTTTTTTTTCGCAAACATCTTGAACGCACTTACTCTTAACTGACCTGGCTACTTTTTGAAAGATTAAATAATTTTTATTATAATAAGTCGATTTAATAAATAAAGTTTTAAAAACATGGACATTGCTTAACCAATTTTGCGGATTAACTTTCGCTATTAATTCAAGCTTTTCTACGTTTGGTGCTCAAAATTTATTAGTCGTGTGATGTTTATTTTGACCCTCCCAATCCTTATTGAGTAGTAGTCTAAGGTAAAGAAGCATAAAAATGAACTATTTGGAGAAAACTTTGCAGGCGATCAGTCCGTATATTGATCATAAAAGGTAAACGTCAGAGTATTGTATGAAAGTCGTTACCGAGTCTTCATTCACTAATCTATTGCCTTTGGGCACATTTTATACAGTATAACTGACAATTCATTTCCTACTTATCAGTTGGGTCCAGCATTTTCAGACATTATCACGATTATAATGCCATTTCTATTGTAAAGCTTGTTGATCCCATTGATAATTTATTATAATATTCTCATAAAACCTCACTCCTTCAACGGTTTCATCTATACAAATGAGACCTTTAGAAACTGTCATCTGTTTCACAAAATCGGAATTGTTAGGAAAATATTGTTATACAAGCAGTGCCTCCTGGAGACTTTATCAATACGATTTCCTCTGTCCTCACCTGTAACTGTTCACTAACAAGCGCAATACTTGCATTCTCAATAGCAGCGAGCTCAATAGCCGTCAATGAACCTTTTTGCCTGATATATTCCAACACCCTCTTTGCTATAACGTCATCATTATGATCCGCTGCTTGCACGACCAGCAATCCACTTGCAAGCTGATGTAATCGCATGGGTAGATCCAATCGCTCAAATAACGAACATGCTTTGTAAAGATCATCTGGGGAAATCAACGCTACTCCCCGAGCACGATTGAAAAGACAATAGACATCAGTGAGAACCATCATGCCTTTATGCTTGTGGAGAAGGGCAGAGAGAAATTCAGCTAATTGACGGGCAAGTTCTTGATGGTATATTGAGCCGGAATCTCTGCGGCGAAGGAGAATGAGTATGTGTTAATATGATTATGTCTGAGTGGACGTTATTATATGAAGTTAACTAAATAAGTATGTCGCATAATATACTTTTTTGTTACTGGATTCGACATTCCAAGTTCTAATAAGTAGGTGCTAAACGTTGAATCATCGTCAGCGGATACCTCAGATTCACTAGAATCTTTGTTTAGTTTCATTTTTATCGATTGAGCTAGTTTAACCTATTCCAATTACAATGAAACATATAACCGAATTCATTAGGAAAAAACCACAGATCGTACATTAAACCTCGTCCTACGGAATAATATAATTCATAACGTAAGTTCTCCATGCTTACAATTCATACCATATCAGAAGCTTTTGCCATCAGTGCGTCTAGGTCCTTAAACGCTTGATCGAGGGTCTCCTTCTGTTCTTCTTGGTTTTGGGCTACATTCTTCATTATTCCACCTGAATTTGAGAGAAAACAGTGTATTATACACGGAGTGGTTACAACTAAATAGCGTGCGTGAACAATAATCGGTAGCAATAATTTACTCACTTATTCCCCCGCGAACAGGATCAAAGTCTGTTTGAGGATTTACGGAAATAGGTTCGGTGATTTTCTGAACATTTATTGCAATAAATGTGCGTCACATAACTAGACTCCACATCAAGGTAGCAAAAATGATACTTCGCGCTTACCTCCCACTCTCTGTCTGTCATTGCAGACTTCAACTTGTTGTTAAAGGAAGCACTCCCACCATTTCTAAAAGCTAACTTTACATGTTGTGCCCGTTCCGTTTTCTCAACGTTTCCATCATCACTCAACTCCATCCCATCAATCTTGAATGTGCCCAACTCCATGCCACACAGTTCACACCACACCATACTCGGATGATTCGAAAATGTGCATCTTGGGCATGAGATTCCTTCTGATGTAACTACAGGTTGCAACGTTGGAGAAGAAGTTACCTCGCCAAGTGAGGCGGTTGGAGAGTGTTCTCCTAGTATGGGAGTTGGAGAGATTTGGGTTTGGGAGAGTGAAGTGGAAGAACTTGATGTCAATGCATCAGGACGTTTAACACCGCAGAGTTCACATTTAGGTGTCGAAGCAAAGTTAGAGTAAGAGCAGGAAAAACATATCCATGTTTGAGGTTGTTGGAGAGAAGACGACGGAGAGGCGGTAGTGGCGGTTGGCACTGTTGGAGACGGGCCGAGGAAGGGTGAATTATAGTCGGTAAAGCGGAGAATTATTTTTGGTGAAGACTTGAGAAAACCTGTCTGCATCCGAAAATTAATTTAGTGAATAATATCTTGTGATACAGTATATTGCTCAATGTAATCAATAGAATATGAAAGAAAGTAAACACACAAAGTATTCTCTCGCTTTAACGAGTTTCAGATCCAACGACACAGAATGTGTTTGTGGCTTTGTTGAGTCAACATATATAACTCTGTGTGTCGTCAAGTACGCTTTGCCGTTTGCATAATCCGGTACCTTTTCGTCCCTAATTATAAATAACTCTATTACAACCAATGCTTTAAATCTGATTCACAATTGCTTCACCCCACACTCTTCGCACACTTAGGTCGGCTATCAACCCCATTTTCTCAAACAGTACCCGTCGTATAATCCAACATTATCCTGGATAATAAATAAAGTTTCAGAGTCTCCTAATATGGGTTGTAAAGAAGATGTTAAGTCTATTCGAGTGAAACGGTCCATCGAGACATTTTGATGATGTTAATTAATTACGAAATATTTTGTTACTATGTATTATTTTGGATTGTCTGACGGGGATCGCGGATTTTGGTGGGACTGATCGGCATATGTATTAGCTTATTGGTAGTGCACATTTTAATTTAGTCAAGTGACTCTTGATCGTTTGCGAGATTTTAAACATATATTGAGAAAAAGGGTTGAGAAGTTTTGGCCTCTTAAGCCAAAATTGAATAATCGAGAGACATTCCTTGGGTGCTACGGCAGAGCGTCTGTTTGATCGACTTCCAATTGACATATCATATAATAATAACTGCAGAATACCTATGTTCTATCTGAGTTGGGACTTGTCTCAGTTCACTCAGTTCAGAACTCAGTTGTCTCACTCAGTTCCGAACCCAGACACCCAGTCCAGAACTGAGACAGGTCCCCAACAATTACATATAGTAAACATAGAAGCCGTGTAACTTTTCTTATTGTAAAGTAGCATGAGAAAGTGAATGTTTCCGACATCATTACTAGATTGCTCCACATCTCCTCTGTTGCACGAAACACTGTCAAAAGATGCTCCAGCATTATATCACATTTTATTCAACTGGCAATAAGGTAGAAATACTCAAATATTCATGTATTTCGACAACGTTGAGGGCCGATAAATATTACGATAATCATATAGCATAATAAAGTAGCAAAAGCATGCAAACTTCTATTGTATACGGCGTAAAGAAATTATTTGGCAAAAAAAAATCGCATACGACTTGAAATCACGTAACTTTGCCAACAATAAACCAAATCGTGTAAACTTGTTTTTTGTTTTGATCATGAAAACCTACTCATTTTCTATTAAATAACATAATAATAATGTCGTTTAAAGGTCACTTTTTTTAAAAATAATATTGAGCACTGAAGCTCACGAACAGAGACGCGTGGAGTGGGCAAAAAACATTTACATGACAATTGAAATAAGACTGTGTTTACTGATGAAACAGCATTCCAGTTGTTCGGAAATATAATCGAGGTAGCATAAAGGTGAGCGGCCTGTACGACGAATTCCAAAAGTTCGTACTCAAATGTTTACATAGTGTGGCTTTTCGATAAAGGGCAAGACCAGCCTTTTTTGTTTTACAATATAATGAATGCAGAGTTCTATGTAGGTATTCTAAAAAGGCATATTCCAGAGATTAGGAACCTACTGGGTAGGCAAGCATACCAGTTATCTTGTCCAATCATTTCTCGGTGAACAGTCTGGATTAAAAACGTCGAAAAGAGAATGCCACAAAATCAGCAAGATTTAAGAGTCCAGAAAACTAGTTAATTAATTGATGAAGCCCAGATATGGTCAAATAGGTATTAATCACATTGTTGTTGTTGCTCAGTGATCAAATATGTATTTGCCAATAATTCCTTTACACACTGTAAATTCCCTCAATTGTACTGTATGTATAAGTACAACCATCTGTTCTTCATTGAATTGATAAGATTGATTATATTAGTTAACTATTGGAATTGCATTTCACTAAATTTTTGCAATTTAGCCAATTATTAATTCTGCATTTCTTTTTATATATGATAACCACAAAATTTCAATTATTTCAACATAAAACTTTGCGTTCATGACTTGTGTAAACAGAATAAACTTGTTCTTCCTCTGACAAAAATCCAGCCCAAGCAAAATTTTTTTGTTCTGTTTTTGAGTGGTCTCTAACTGGATGCTGTCCTCTATACCAATGTTTGATTTGTTTCTAAACAGTTGAAGTATAGTTTCACCATTGAACACCACTATATAATAGAGTGGTTTTTTTAAAAAAAAAAGTTTCTAACATTAATATATTGACAGCTGGACAGCAAGTGTTAAATAACGATTTTGTGTGGCACCAAAATTATTTACTGATAAATTGTTTATTCATATTGATTAACTACTAATGTTAGATTTGTTGTGTCTGAGTTTGGGGGCTGTCTCAGTTCAAAACCCAATTACTCAGTCCAGAACTGAGACAGGTCCCCCAACTGAAGTACAACAAATTTAAATATTGATCTGTAAAGTATTGCTGATCCTAACACTAATATGAGTTTATCACATATCACGTAGTTTTTATAACACAATATTTAACTTCGAGTTTTCAGTTTTTGATGGTTAAGCTAATACAACTTTTTATCTTACAAAACAAACAATACAAATTTACCAATTAATTTTAAAACAATTGATAGGTAGATAATAATAATTTTGTCTTTGTGTTAAATAAATCAGAATTATGTCAAAAACATTAAGAGGAGGACCAATATTATTAACCCAAATATTAATTAAAAAGTTATAAAATTTGCCTCAGCAAATATAAAGGAGCTAAAAATTGTACCAGATTTTTCTTTAATATAACCACCTAATACTAATAGCATAAATCCGCAGTTAAAACGTGCTAACCAAATTTTATAGACTGTTGTATCACACAATTTGGATATAGCAAAAAAATTTTATATACACAGTGAAATTCACTTTAACGAAGACATTCGTTCCACAATTTTGCTTCGTTAACCTGAAAGTTCGCTTAAGTGAACTGTCTTTTTATATGAAATATATGAATCCGTTCTGGAAAGAACTTTGTTATAAAGCGATCTTCGTTAAAGTGAGACTTCGTTAAAGTGTGTATAAGCGAAAATCATATATTAATATAGTAGTATGTTAACGACGAAATTTGACGTTTATTGCTTGTTATGTTCATAATATAGAGGAAATTATGTGTATTAAACAGCAATTTTGGAATCCTATATAATATTTATGGCAGTAGTTACATTTAATTTATTATATTATTATAACTAAAAATTAGTCACTAAACACTCACAAGCAAGCAAGGCAACGAAAATCAAGTTGGTTTTTTTTTCCCGCCGCACAATAATACCAACTTTAATTATTAACAGAATTAACAATATGTTAATGGGTAAGGAGTTATGCAGAATACGTAATATGCCCTAGCAGCTAGTAATAAGCGAAACGTTCATTGAAAATCGCAGTAGGAACTGGAGTAAAGTAAACTGATAACAACAAAGCAATATCACAGTAAGTTTTCATTATACTGTAAATGTTCTTCAAATAAAATACTCTTAAAAAGCTGAAACGTTCAGTCAATATATAGTATGAATTATTTATTTATTATTATTATATCTGGTGTAATGTAGCTGGCTTTTAGAACTGTAAAAGCTTAATAATTAATACTATTAAATATAGCTAACATTGCTTTACTTGTTCACATATAGTACAGTTTATAGATTCATTGAGTGTCTAGTCAGTGTTTGTTGGCATATCCTTGAGTTTGATAAATTTACAGCAGTAAAACCACTTCATGTCAATATAAACTTACAACCACAGTAGATTTTTATGAGTCTAAATATTCTCAGTTTAAACTCCAACTTTGGTTGTAATCATATTTTTTGGAAAAATATTCACAGATTTCTATCTTGTTATGCAAGTGTTGAAACTTCAAGCCGGAAGATCTGAACCATCCGACAAGCAATTAAGTAAAATTGTCCGAAAGAGGACAGAGTATTGCAGCCCAAATTCAATTAAATCACAGAGATATGTATTGAATATTGTAATAAAGTATCTTTTGCTGTGAAAGAAAAACTCAGGAGGACATTCTCTGTGAAGACCATTGCATTTTTTCAAACAAAAAATTTTGATCGGAATTAACTCGAATTGATTTCAACGTTATCAACAATTCGCAAAATTTGAGCTATTAAATCAATATTACTATTACCGCCAAGAAACATTGTTATAATGCATTTATTTACTATATTAATATTCACTAAATTCACAACTTAAGATCACCAAATTCTAACTAATACCAAGTCAAAAGCCAACCACATCTTACTCATGAACTAATAACTTTTCATATTGTCCATTCGTGATGTTCGCTTAATACCATTGTCTTGCCAAGTTTAGCATCGAGCATACACGATAGTTGAATAGAGTCCAATAAGAATATGTATAATTATTATAATCTATCCTTTCATGTACTGTCAACCTACAATAATAACAATGTGTCAAATTAGAATTTATATCAATATCAATTCAAGATCACGTATATGAAATTATTAGTATTCGACGTTATCAGAAAATCAAAAAATGTTAAATGCAAAATTTTCTAAAAGAAAAAAGGGTTATTTCAAGTTAGAATCTTGGTTTCTCAATTGTATTATGATCAGTAAAGTCAAATAACGTTGAGAAGGGTTCTGGTGGATACCTGAATATACACTATACTAGTAGCTCGACTATACATCTTGATAACTAATCCAATAAGTAAAGTGCAAAAGCCATCTACGCACCAGAATCCATGCATTTGGTTCAGATCTTCAAAGAAAAAGCGATAAGTCAGGCGGACAAGGCCAATTTATAAAAAGATTCTCGTGAAAATAAGATTCTGTCAACTTGCATCTGATGATATACCCGGAAATTTTAGCCGAATATTCAGTTACTCTAAGCCAAAGTTTGAGTTCTAACTTAGACTTTATGTCCGATTATAAGGCCGCGGAACATTGATGTTTGCGTTGAATAATTGTATCTGTGCAGTTCATGCTTCTTCATGCTCCTTCGTGCCACTGACGCTCCTTCATGCTGCTTGTCGCTTCCTCATGCCACTTGATGCTTCTCCATGCCAAACGTACGTTGATTATGCCGTTTTGACGTTTAAGGACATCTTTTTATGCACATCAAATGCATCTTCAAGCGTCAAGGAACTTTTGCAGCTTAGGATCACATACGTCAGTACCAGGTGTACGAGTTTTCTTATTAATTATGTTGAGAAAAAAGTACGATAAAGGTGGACAGTCTGAATGATAAGCAACAAATATTTCACCTCTATTCTTCTTCGAAAAGTATGACAAAGATTGCTCATTCGAGTATCAGCGATACATGTTTTGGAGATGTTTTCTCTCATAAACAGTAATATCCTAAAGTAAGACGAAAGTAATGTATTACTATATTACAAAACAAAACCGACTATTTGTCCATGCAGAATGTACAGAGACAAACAACTGACAAAGACATCTATTGTGCTGTTCGATATTTTTGGTGCCATAACTGGGCGACTAATGATAATGATTTTATTCTTTTAATGATGGATCAACATCTTTGTATCACCATCTATAAATGCCGAGTCCGGAATATATCCGCTGCTCGAAAAGCAGTATACAGAGTTGACCACATCTGGTTCTAAGCTTTTGATGAACAAGTCATATAGTCTCTTCTCTTGCCCTTGCCAAGGCTCGTCCATATAAGGCCTACTTTCTCGCTGGCATACATGATGAGATCTTTTCGTAAGTATGCAAGCCTAATGACTTGTATTATGCTCGTTACAATGATTGTCCTTGTACTCCACGAATAATGGGTTTATTGTTTGATATTAATATATGCTTGAATTCGGTTTTCACAATTTTGGAAGAATTAAATCCCCAAGACATTTAGAGAACTTGTTAGCAAAATATCAATAAATAAACATGATACAGAGACGTTTCCCGACTCGCTATCAGTTAGATTAAATTTACGTGAAGCCAATAAAATTGTTCTCTGCTCATCATGCACAACTCTGGGGTTGCACTTGATGACGTAGCGATTTTAATTAAAATCAAAATCATAACACTAGCGCATAAGATGGGAGACCCCGTCCAACGGATTGGACAAACTTGTCTAGCTTTCCGGCTTCGATTACCCGCGTTTTATCACGTGACAATCAACTAGTCTTGATTGAGGCTTATTTGTATTACATAATTGACCTCTCTCTCTCTCAGGGGTGAAAATACAAGTGTTACGATGGCTTCCGAATATGCTATGCATACGCAAAAAAAAAGAGGGGTAACGGCAACTGTTAATGTAAATTAGGAAATGATCAATTTCACGGAACTAGTGGAATTTCTTGTCAGAAATCCTATTGGTGTGATTGTCGAGGATGAAAAAGATAGCTCCACAACGTTTGTAATTTGTCGAGGATAAACGCGGTGCTATGTATTATTAAGAACATTATTCTAAAATCAAATATTGCGTTTGTCCATTAATTGTGTAATTGTACAAGTGCGTGCGGGGAAACGTGGTCTGTACAAGTATCATTAAATTTGATACCCGCATTGTTTCGGTAGTGGTCCTTGGATTGTTCTACCACGTTTACGGACTATCCATGCAATCAATAAACATTACGAGAAACAAATATTAGGCGGAGAGAAAAAAAAGGCTCGATTTTGCAGTGTTTTGTGTACAAAATGTTGATGAGATGGGTAGTTGCGAGCGTTTCAATAAATGAACCCAAATGGGGAAACGTTGGAGTCGATCTCTTTAATGTCGTCTTTTTTGCTCAAACCTCCCTATCTCTCATGACACAAGACTACAAAAGTCACACTGTTACTCAAATTTCATCGGTCGTCATCTGTCTCTCTGACCATCAACCTTACCTCCACACACAAATTATGGTTGGGTTTCCATATCCTTTTGATAACAATCGAGTTGTCCATGGGGTCATATTTGACATTGCTATTGTAATTTTCCAAGTCCGTAGTATCTCTGCGTAAAAATCGGCGGTCTCCGCGGTGTAACAAACAGAGCCACGAAACCAGAACATGATGGAGTGGGGTAAACATCTTTGCTTGTCTTTTGTTCTTTCTGCATGAGAAGATGTGGGTCCCGACGTTTTTTGATGAATTGTTTTTATTCCATTATAAGATTTGTTGAAAGAATTTTACTGCTGTACACAACATCGTTGTAGGTTGAGATTTAAATGGCAGGTGGAATAATTCCTAGTAGAACGCAGTCATGTGTATGTTCTCATATCAGGCACTTTGCATGTCCAACGGAATTCTATTGGTCACATAAGTGACAGCAACAATTAATGGATAAAAATGACATGTTACGCAATATAAGAAGGGACTAAGCAAACAATGCTGCAAGGAATGATGTGTGACATATGCGCATGTAAAAAATAGCATACAGTTTTCTATAGAATCACGGTATATCAAAATGAGAATACCAGGCTATAGGATTAGGTTTAGTGTAAATACGCTCGACATCTCAACATTCTTCAAATTCTTGGAATTTACAAATTAACCGCATCAATAAACCTGTAAATATAGATGACATTTTGTATCGGTAAATAAAAGATTAACGATAATATCGTAATTTACATAATCAGAATGCAGTGTCACATATCATATTATCTATGCATGAAAACAGATCTTATAAAATATAAACATATGAACTATTCTTTAAAATTAATTTTTATTTCAGTCATCATTGGTCAGCTGACCCATTAGCGCCGCAGTTCACATACCTCCTGGCTATGCTTACATATTTGGTGTGTGGGAGGGAGCTCGGAAAAAATACTATTCATTTAATACTGGCTTGCATCGATTTATATTGATGTCTAAATAAGGTTAGTGATAGAGATAACGACAAGTAAACATAACACTCATACGAACCGCCGACTGTACTATTTAAAATAATGCTATAAATAAAGTAATCGGATACAAACGCAAATCATACCCATTTGCTATTACGAGAAGCAAGATATTATGTATATATTTATATATTCGGCTTAAAACCATTTTGTGACAGGGAGTTGACTGTTGAGGTAAGCTCTGTTCATATGGTACCAATAATCTGTTCTGTCACACCTTCTATATTGGAAATGCTATTGTTAGAAAGCAAGATAATGAATGCAAGCATTTATCTGCCTGTCCCATAATAGCACTATCTGTGAATGTAGTTCACTGATTTGACTAGTATATCGCTGTATTGATTCAGAGACATCCCTATGAAACCTCTAAAGTGAGACAGACGGTCGGTTATTTTATTTGATGATGCGTTAGATCTTATGTCTGTAACTTGTCGCCAATACTGTCTATACTCGAAAAAGTCATTTCGAAGCATAAAGATTTATGTTTGGAAAACCATGATTCGTCCTCTACAAGATGCAGCTGCAAAAGGGTTGAATAGAGTTATAGCATCGATGTCATTGAGCTTGATTAAAGATATTTGCACGTTATGTCGCAAACAGCGAAACACCTGTTGGACATGCAACAAAGCGACACAAGACTGACTAACCAATGATATGATTCGTTTTGATTAGGGTATCAGTTGTTAATAGCTCCCTGAGGGTATCGGTTGTTATAGCTAGCTCCCTGAATGATCATCATGCAACGGTGTAACAGGGTTTAACAGTACTCGATATATAAGGTCGAATGTGAAGCGTGGAATAATGCAGAACAACCCGTTGAAAAATGACTATTCATGTCTTGAATGGCAGGTGATTGTGTTGGTGAGGGTCGAGAATTATGGGCATGATATGTTATTTATGTTATATCAATGGCATCGGTTCTTTAAATTGTGACAGGTTGTTACGTAGCTCAATATCGATCTGGCGCAGATCGGCAATGTACAATGATAAATAAATAAATCTTATCAATAATGGGCAATCAATAAGATAACGTAATAATCGTATTGTTGTAAAGTTGTGTTGTTACGCTGTGTTGTTATGGTATTGTTGTGTTGTTGTGTTGTTGTGTTGTTGTGTTGTTGTGTTGTGGTGTTGTTGTGGTGTGGTGTTGTGGTGTTGTTGTGTTGTGGTGTTGTTGTGTTGTTGTGTTGTGGTGCTGTGGTTGTGTTGTTGCGTTGTTGTGTTGTTGTAGTTACAAAGTTATGTCTATTTGTTTGTGATAACTGATGATCCCTAGTTATTAAATTATTGTTAATTACCCTTATTGCTTAAATGTGTTACTAACTTGTGCTTATCAACTATAATTTCCCATATGCTCTGTATGACGCTTGATCCAGCTTCTACTATTCAATAATAATACTTGTCGGGTTAACGGGACTTCCACGGTTGCGGATAAATGAAACGTACATAAAATTGACCCAATAAAAATACCGCTATATTTACGGTACGCAATAATTATCACATTCATATTCTTATCTATTCTTAGCCCTTCCCCTTAAATCAACAGTTTCGGTAATTCGTCGCTTTGTACTGCAAGACTAATAATAACACTCTCACGAGTATTTTCGTGCGTTTAGCATAACTGCTTGCTTTACATGTCTACAGCGTTCTGCTCGTGTTGATTGATAATTTTGGGCACTCTCATGTTTTTCCAGTTCATCGAATATATTGATCTACTTGCACTTGCATTTTCAACACCGACATTACACATGCAGAAGAAGAGCTAAGTTCAACCGGATTGGAGCATCAATTTGTCCGGCGTCTCATCGAATGCAGGTCATCCTGAAATTGATATTGGAAGATAAGAATCATATGGGAAGAAAAAAAATAACTATGTAGTATTTTTCACAATGAATAAATGGCATAGATATTGTCGATAATATTGTTACCATACACTCTCGGTGAATTGATTTCGTCATTTTAGTCGTGTGCAACATAATTTTCACAGTCGTATTCAATCTAGACAATATGCTGCAATACATTCACTCACTGTGCTACATATATTTTATCTCAATTGTCCAAATTCATCGACATTATAAAATATTGTTTGGGTCATTCTTTGTGTCTTCGATCTTATTCCATGGTTGCGTCAAATTTACCGCATAATTGTCTGTATAATATCGTTCAGACTGTAGCCAGAATATCGTCTTGCCCATAATTAGACTAGTCTAACTGAAAAAAAAAAATTCAACGAGAGCGGGTTATTCAAAAGGTTTGTTGTGTCACTGACATTCTATGGTTTTCTTCCATACATACATCTATACATATAACTGTATCAACAATAATTTATATCAATAATTCAAAAAAAACATGAGATCAATTAATAAGTTATAAGTGCGAGGGCAATAAAAGTCACAATGAGTCAATATCTGTTATTAAAAGACAGTACGTCACTTTTATTGGTATCAAAGATTAACACTTACAGTATGCTGACATTCATAAACAAAACATACTGTTCATTTGTACTATTCACAACGAACATCCAGGGGTGCATCCGAGTTAACCGGATTAGTCCAATGAGACATCCTTGTCTCTGAGAAATTTCCCGAAGAGTCGATGAAAATGGTCAGTGGATCGGGGTGCGACTTTTTCCGCAAATAGACAGGAAGATTCGAAATGCAGAAACATCAAGTTATGGGTGAGGAGAATATCTTCCCGCTATTCAGCACCTAACAAGGAACTTGATATCAAACAATCTCCGTTAAAGAAGGAAAAAAAATTTTTAGCGGACGAATAAGAGAGTAAATAAGAGTGATTTGTTATACCTTATTAGTTATCGGAAAAATGTGAGCTACGTGATCATTTCACTGGCACCGTAAATAGAAATAGAACATTAGGGACATGCTTGGTTGTATACGACATGATATAATAGTTATTCTAGTGGTGTATTTTTTACAAAGTATAGAACGCCCAGTTACTTGATATGTTGCAAGTTAATTTACTTTGTTGATCATCAGCATGGCAGAGCAGCACCAGAAACCAGAAACCCTACCAACAGCACCAGCAGCATTACCTTCTTGTCCATCCATGATTTCGATCCTTGCATGAGTAGGTTTATGACGGAATCGAGATCATGGGAGAATGGCTGTTTCTTGTCCATGAGCTTGTATTCCTGATTATACGTTTGTGTATGCGCGGAGGTCTATTATTGGCTACATCCGATCATTTCTAGTTGGTCGAGCGAGTACCCTTAATTATTGCGTCTTCACAACATGAATTCGAATTTCTAATACATGTAAAGGATAATGAGTCAGCCAACGGATACGATAGGTTATGGATAATCAGGTTCATTATTTATTGTTTGTAAATATAGGACAGATGGTGTTGCTAACTTTTATGAGTCAATAACATATGGCTGCAGCATGGTAACTTGCGTTGATTGAAGAGTGGATCCGCGTAAACAATGGATAGTCGATATCTTGACGTTTAACATTTAATTGATGCAATAAATAAAAAATTAAATTAAGTAATCATAAAATTTATAATATCGTATTAGATGAATGTGTGTGCAAGAGAAAAGAGAGACGAAAGTGTACTTGTGTTACATATCCATCACATAGTATATACATCTCTTTTTTACAAAAAGTCGTAAGTTATGGCCTTTTTGATTATATATATTTACAAACAAATATAACGCAGGTATTAGCAGTATTTGATATTTGTCAACAGATTCCCAAGACTTGTCGAGCATCTTGGTATTAACCCTGATGGTCATTGCATTTTTTTTCTCCAGTGGGTTGCTCCTCCTCAAAAAGTGTCCATTGAATATAAGAAAGGGACAGTTGTACAGGTTACAAGTAGCAACTTATTGATCGATTACATGACGGGGGGATGTAATTTAATTAATATCTGCTATTCTTACAATGGGATTATTATAATATTGATAACAAATTATACGGGACACCTATATTACACAGAACCGTTAGTCAATGTTTTGTTATATTTAATATACGTATATATATCCGTTATGTGTATATCATGTATATTATGTATATACACAAATACAACGTACACACATATACATATACATATACATACACATACACATACACATATACATACACATATACATACACATATACATCATATATAAATATATAACGTACATATATAAATATATATATATATATATATATACATATGTGTGTGTGTGTGTGTGTGTGTGTGTGTGTGTGTGTGTGAGCATCATGCCGTCTGTACCACAAAATAATAACCATATATATTACAATATTATGGAATTTACTGTACTGCAAAAAAATTTATGCCCGTATATCAAACAACATATTTCGCATTATATTATACGTATACATCACTTGACATCATTACAAGTCTATTCATTCCTCTATCTGTTGTTTCTAGACATCATTCCACCTTGATAGTTACTGAGAAGGGCAAGACGCTATAAAGAAACCACTCTGCTTCTCATATCCATCTTCGGGAAGTCACACAACAGCCTTGATCGTGGTCAATAAACAGAACATCTCGTATCAAATAATATTAAGGAAGAAAACTCCATGTTCGACATTCCATTCTATTCCACCTTTCATGATAAATTCATTCTGATTATTCATTCTAACCATAGAATAATTGTCTCCTGTCATATAGTATATAATTGACAATACTCTTCATTTATACACACCAACCACAATTCAACATAGACTCTCTCTCACTTTATCTAATTCAATCCCACTTACACAATTCTCCCAACCTTATAAATAAATCAACTCACGTCGGAACATCGCGGCCAACCGTCTAATTTCTCTGACAGACGTCCACACCAACAGCAAATAATCTCCATCTCACTTTCAAACCTCTGAGGACTCTGCCGCTTCTCTGCGCTGTACACAAGTAAGTGTCAGGATGTTGCCTTCAACACAAACATCACTCCTGGTTGCTGGCTTACTAGTTAGTTATACGAGTGGTCACTGCGTTCCATGTCAAATAAACAATACAAAATATTTTAATTTCGTAGATTTTGGTTATCTTATTTTCTATTTTTTATACATCTTATCGTATCGTCCTTGTATATACTCTCTCCCTTTCCCTCCCTCTCTTCTCCCTCTCCTCTCCCTCTCCCCTCCCCCTTCTCTTTCATGTTAGCGGACTTTTTTTTTTTCCACCGTTCCATTATACACCCAACCCCCTTTCCCCATATCTATATTTTGACACGCAATAATCAACTAATTTTATTCGTCTCCCCCCCCACCCCCCAAATACCGATTGTATTTGTAAACGTTGTTTTTTTTTAAGATACAAAAACAGTTTTAACAGGTTTATCCATTACATCTAAATATACACCTACTTTACCCACAACGAGATTCGTCGTTGCACAAGCCAACTAGCCTTTATAAATAAACATACAATTCCCTATTTACTAACTCCAGTTTTTTTCTTCCGATAAAAAAACTAAACCAACTCTCAGTCGTCCGACTTGAATTATCCCTTCCCCGGCTTCGAGTCGCGTACCTACTATTTCTCGGCCAACGAATAACCTTCTTTAATAAAGATTATAAATACAAAATTCGCAACTACAGTAACGATTACGACATCAAAGATACCTACTATATATATACACCTTGTTAAGCTGTCACCCCAGACTGACAAGACGATTTAACGACTTTATAACGCAATTATGAGCATTGAAGCTACCTTCAGGGGATATATCGAATCAACCCAAGACACACTTCTCATATTCGAAGCCTGCAGAAGAGGACTTGTGCCAAAAATATGCAGGCGACTACAAGAGAAAGAACGTAAAATTGTTCAGTCGGGGAGTGTATTCGTGTTTGACGAACGAGAATCTGGAATTAAGCGTTGGACTGACGGCTTGGTCTGGAGTCCATCCCGCATTCTTGGAAATTTTTTGATTTATCGCGAATTAGATAAGCGAGCCCCCGCTGGTAAAAAAGAAACTGTACCTGTAGAGAGACAACGCAGCAATAGCATGGATACCGAGTCTCAAGCAGAGAAAAACAAGGAACGAGCTCTCGTTGGAAGTTTAACGAATTCATATCGATTCAAGAAGGGTGGTCTCATTAAGAAAACAATGTCAATTGTTGTCAATGGTGTTGCTCAGCACATGATCAGTTATTATACAAAGGAAGATGTATTAGCTGGGAAACTGAAAACACCATCTACAACGCCGAATCTAGCAATGCTCGAAATTTCACCCGACTTTTTGGTAAAGCAAAACTTCAGGATACCCCCTCAGATAGAACCCGTATATGACCAGAATGAATCCCAAAGTAAGCAATTACTTTTTTTTTTGTGCGTGTGTGTATGTGTGAGCGAGAGTGTGTGAGAGTTTTGTGTTTACTGACTCGAAAAAAACTTTCTCTCCACCCAATGACATCATTATATAGAAATCGATTATGGAAAGCATCCGAATGGTATTCCTTCTAGGATGAGCAGTATTGGAAGTACGAACAGTCCAACGAGGCTATCAACCCACGGGATAGAGTATGTTCATGGTCCGATAAAGTTGGAGACCGATAACACCAATACAATGGTTCCAGATGGATATCGGCAACCAATTGCTACGACAGCATATACGAGCAGTCCGCCACAGTCTTTTGCTCCACTTCATTCAAGTTTTGGATATGGAGCATCCCATTCTTCAAATGGCGGACATGAAGCAACTTCGCTGCCTATCCCGTCTGTTCGCCAATTTCCGACTCCTCATCGGCAAGCATCCTATCATGAGTTTCCACCCGTCTCACCACACATAAATCCCCCACACGGACGACCGCGTATGAGATCGGCACCCGCTATTCAACAAACAACACCGCAATCCCTGATACCGACTATAACAGCTTCAAGTCAAACCGCTCCTCATCACATCGGTGCTGCCAATTCAGACCTTAATTACTACGCACACTCTATACACAACGTAACATCGCCAAATAGTTGGACAGATCATCCATTCACGCCATATCAATCATCGCAAGGAACTTCAAATCAGCCATCAGCATCTGGTCTTTCATCATCTAATCACATGTCAACTGGCGGTCCACATTCGGAAACGAGTGGGGATGTATTCTACAATACCACGACTGCGGTCACTGCTCATAATGAGGCTATGTATGGGGGTAGCTCATATAGCGAACTGCCGACTACAATCCCCGAATTGTATAACCCAACACACTCTTCACAAAGCTCAGTCTCCAATTCTCATTCTCAACAACAACAGCACAGTACAGCATCATCTCCGACGATGCGACCAACTTCATCTCCCACTCATACGTCAAACCATGCGCCAATCACACCTCCTCTGACTTCAGCAAATACAAACCATACTGCTATTATCAATGCAGGCAGCAATAATAGTGGGGGATTCTTTGCTGCACCTACATCGTCTCTTGGATATACACCATATTACGCGCCAAATTTCGTCAAGAACGAAGCATATCCACCGGCAATGCCGGCTAATCCCTTGTGTGTTCCGTATTATGCTCGAGAGGGAGATTGGTAAAGCCAATGGACATTTTTTACGTGTTTGTTTCTTATAATCTTCTGCTCTCAATTACCTTCTCAATTACTCATTTCGATTACTCTGGTTAGTAAAAATGACAACAAAAAACTTCTATAAAATTTGGGTATAGGGTATTAAAGAGTTTAAAAATGGGAGATGTACATGAAAATCAAAAGGTTATTATGGGGTAAATTAGTATATTGTCGTTGTAATATAGCATTTTTTTTTCTTTGTTTTTTTTTTACTCCGTAAAACATCGCGTTATTAATAGGTAAGGAGGAAAAGAGGCTTTTTTTGGTTATTATTTTTAGTTTACTATTGCCTCCTTTATTTTCGTACAGATATTGTCAGAATATTTTCTCATGGTTCACAAAAAAATTAAAAAGAAAAAAAAAGAAAAAAAAGGGAAAAAGTCACTGTAGTTTCTTATAGTTTTTAACACTATATAGCAAACTTTGATTTTGTAAAGGTTTTTACTTTATCGATACGAATCTATAGTATTAGATATACAATTTTTCAACCTTCATGTCTCATTCTCTTCTGCATCTCTCCCTCAGATTGATGCTAGTAAGAGATGAGAAATAAGCTTTTATGGAACAATAATGCAACACAAAAATCTAGAGCTCACGCTCATTCTTAATTCGTCTACTTTATTCTTTTCCGAATAAAGCAAAAAGAAAAGTTTCATAATAAGATAGATCTCATAATAATAAGGAACAGTTTTTTGTAGCAACAATTTGTGGTTTCCGTACTTGATATATATATATATATATATTCTCTTGCTAATAATAATTGAGTCGCAGAAGTTCATCCATTAACAAAGCGTTTTAAACAAAAAGACCCCGATTTGTTATTGACTCATTAATTTTCTAGAATAAGACTTTGGTATGTAACATAGTTCTCAATATGAATAAAGGCAAGAAATGAATATATAGATTTACGAGCATATTCTAGATCCATTACGTAATGAATGTGACGATGAATATATATTATTGTGGGATTTATTTATATCAAATAACTAGGTATAGGAAATATCTATCATTGTTTATGTTTATGGTAATTTGATTTTACGCTTGAGCTACTGTAATGCTTAAGGTTATAGTTTGTTCATATTTGGTCTGCGGTTACGCGAGTGCAGATACAATTATCTTAATATATTCGCTGTATTCATGTGTGTCACAATGATCTTGGAAGTTTATTTTTCTTTGAAAGGGTATTTTCATACTGCGTGACCTAACAAACAATTCTTCTCAATGGACCTTTTTGCAGTCTACGTACAAGAGTAAGACCCGTGCGTTTGGCACGAGAGGTTGTACTGGTACACAGTGAAACTCGATATAGCGGAGGCTACGGTTCCGACCCTTTTCTCCGTTAAATCGAGTTTTCACGATATACTAATACCGGATATCATAGCAAACCATGTAGTACTCCGTTACGTTAGATCAAGTAATCTTCAATTAATATTTGTTTAGCTTAACTAAATTATGAAGGCCTTATTGTTATTATTATGTCTGATACAGATTGCTAATTGTACACCTGTTAAGCTTGGGTTATCGTGTTTCATTTGCATGATTCTTGGAAAGTGATTTATGTTGGTTCGATCTCGTTCATGTGAGACAAAGTTTACAAATTGGTACAATTTGATTGGCTGATCAGAGATACCCCAAGTAGAACTGGCATACTAATATTAGTACTTTTTGGTTAGCATCCGTTATTATTATAGGATTTATCGAGAGATTACTAACAAAATCCGGTATATCGAGACAATTTTTATTAGTGTTGGATTTGTTCCATGAAAAATCTCCGTACTAAGCGATATCCGTTATATCGAGGGTCCGTTATATCGAGTTTCACTGTGTATGTATTATTGTTGTTGTTGTTGCTAACGTAATATGATGGGAAATAACATCCAGTATGGGAAATAACATCCAGTATGGTAGATGTTAATCATTGTTCACCATTTTTGATACAATATAATCTTTTGATATGATCGAGAGACATGCGTTATCATCACCGAGTGGAGAAATACCCTCGATTAATACTTAACACTGCGCTAATATCATATGTTGGCTTAATCAATAATGAAAATGTTGTCATCTTTGTTGAGTTTAAACATTTGTAGTGTTTTGTGCATATAGACATTCTTACTATATTTATGTAAAGACCCATCTCAGCGCTTTACACATTATTGCACTGGCGCAATAGATTAGTATATTCGACATCATCAAACTGACCAATCGACAAGATCTATTGTCTCCAATTCTGCCTTAATGCTATACTACAGGCTATGATGCACGATTTCTTATGTACACTCCCCTGACAAGGGAGTGTATATTTCACCATTATGTCAACAGATTTGTTTTAATGCAGAATATCCAGGCCATATTATAACTGCTAAGCAAATATTCAGTCATAACTAGTCTATACCCAAAATAACCGCAGCACTTGGCTGGTGTAAGAGGCGAAAGACCTGACGCTAATCAAGCCGTACCTAACAGCAAGCACAGCCGGAATAGCCTGACACATTATAGTATCGAGTATAAGATCTTAATTAACACCTTAGAGTCACTGACTTTGGCTGGAGGTCGACTGTACATGCATAAGAAATAGAACGCACAAAAACGTATTAGTTGACTGTTTTAATTAGACGCGTATTTTGGAAGGAAATGAAGTTTATGCATTTTATTCCAAAAACTTTTTCGCACACTGTATCTTTGGAGCCTTTATGGTCGGCGTGATCATTCCTCACTCGGACGGATTTGCCTTGGGGTATTCCCGAGAGAGTTGTATGCTCGTCGTCAAAGCTTCAGAACCGTTTTCGTAGACAATAGCTTCATTCAATGCAAGCACAGGCTCCATATGAGATTGCATGTTTCATGCGCGTTTTCGGTTCCGCCATCAAATACCGACAACCGTAAACATTGCAATATTGCAATATTTTGCTTATTTGAAAATCAAAATCGTAAACACATAAACTCTCTCTTCAATGCTAACATCACCACCGCCGCCGCCGCCACCGCCACCGCCACCAAACCACCATCAAAAAAGGTTTCAAGCAAAAGGTCCTCGGCTCCCCAACCTACAAACTTAAGACCTTATTGGAACGAAAAAGTCGCGGCGTGGTCTCAAAAATTGTGGTTACCCATTGTGACCGACCCTGCCGCGACCTCATCCACTCCCCCAATACTACAAAACTCAGGGTTTTCGTCAACAAAGCGACCTCCGACGAGCAGCAAACTTTCCTTACAATCAAGCAAGGAAGAAGAGTCGCCCAACGAGAACCCCAAACAACAACAGCAGCATGTAACAAGCGACAACATTTGGAAGCTCTCCATTCGTACGCTGCCAATTAAAGTATATCCAATCACCTTCAAAAGCGCTATCGAAACGGTGGATGGACTTGTCGAGATATGCCTATACTGAGTCGATGCTGCCGTTTCTATACCAAAAATTCGCATATTAATATTGGTCCATCACGACGGGTTTGGATAAAATATCAACCTATTGAAGATAAGCTCAAGCTTTACGCGGATGTTCGTGTAGGAAAAGACGTTAACGAGCGTGAAGCATTAACTGCTAGGTATGATTGGTTATTTACTTATTGATTTTATTTGATCAAAATCCAACGTGGAACCATTTCTATATCACCCATCTCCATAATCCATCAATGCGCCTGTTATCACTCTGGACGACAAACGCGATTTGTGGCCGCTTCATTTCGAAAAAAAAGACATAATAATAAGTGGCCTGTTCCTCACAGAATAACGTCCGATTGCAAGATCACCCATATTCGCAAAATTAATGAATGGAAATTTTCATGGGTTTACAAAAACAACTCCGCGGATAGTTCTATTCATACAGTTTCCATCGACCCTGGCGTTCGTACACCCTTCACATGGTACTCTCCTACTAAAATTGGCCAATACGACATTGGACGAATTATTTGCATATGGATAATCTTCTTTCTATAAAGGACAAGCTGACTGCCTCTTGATTTCGGATGCGGCGAAAAATCAAACACCTGCAAAGCGAAGTTCATAAAAAGAGTGTCGCATTTTTTACTCGCGAATATTTGATGCCATTATCATCCCTCCTTTTGAGGTGTCGAATATGGGAAAAACCGGTCGTAAAATGCTCTGTTGGGGCCACTATCAATTTCGCCAACATCAAGCAGAAGAATTAGGAGTCCATGTTATCCAAAATGAGGCCTATACTTCAAAAACTTGCAGCTGGTGTGGGAGCGTTTAAAAAATAGGAGGGTCCGACATGTACAAGTGCGTAGACGGAGTGGCCAATAAGGGTGGTTTGGCGAAGACGATTATAATTATAATTATGGTGACGAACAATAAATAATAATATTATTAACAATAAGTAATAGTAGTGATAGGAGTTAGCAGTGTAATAGTAATAGTAGTAATAGCAGCAGCAGCAGCAGCAGTAGTAGTAGTAGTATATAATAATAATAATACTTAACATGCAGAGTTAACTAACGTCTCATTGTCATTGGCATCAATATCAGTGTATCTTAAATTAATGTTATATAAGTTCTTCTAATTGCTTAAAAGTTAGTAGTCCTTTCACCTTATTGTTCTTATCTACTACTGGTAGTGTAGAAATAGGATAGTCACTCTCTTCCATCAGACGCTTAGCCTCACCCGCCAAGTCATCCACAAAACAAGTCACCGGATTTCTCGACATTACATCATTTGCATTCAACTCAAAGAACTGACCCCTAAATGCAATTGCCCTCCGGATATCGCCGCTTGTTATTACTCCGACTACACTATGACCAGAATCATCGATGACTAATGCCACCGAATTACACTTATAATCCATCATCTCAGCGACCACTCTATCCATTTTTGTTGACATGAAAACTGTTAGCACATCGGAAATACGGTACATAATATCTTTTACTTTCAACAACAACCGACGCCCTAGCGAACCTCCAGGATGGTTCAGCGCAAAACTTTGCGGAGTAAACCCGCGTAATTCCATCAAAGTTATAGCCACGGCATCACCAAGCGCCAGTGCAAGGGTAGTAGAAGTGGTCGGAGCCGGGATATATTGGCAAGCTTCGCTCTTCACATGGCCGTCTAACCAGATATCAGATTCTTTGACCAACCGAGAGTTCTTGTTGCCACATAATGCAATTACTGACACATTACGTTTTCTTAGCGATGGCATTAACCTCAGTACTTCCTCCGTATTCCCGGAATAGCTAATTGCAATAACGGCATCATTCGCTTGAATAACACCAAGATCGCCATGAATACCTTCAACTGGATGTAAAAATACAGCACAGCTGCCTGTACTCTGCAAAGTAGCAACTATCTTCTCTCCAATCTTCCCTGATTTACCCACTCCAGTTACTACTATCTTTCCTCCTCTATCAAGGGTCTGAAATAACCGATAAATTGCTTGATGAAACTGGTCTTTATTCTCATGACGTAATCTTTCTGCACAATCGGCTAACGCATTACTTTCTTGCAACAGAATACGGGATGCCTCTTGGATGATTTCATCTGATGTCATGGTAGGAGTGCTGGGCATAGTGGATGAATCTTTCTGTGGTAGCGTTACGTGCGTTGTAGGAATATACACTGTTGCAGGAGATTGAGCCAGCATTTGTTATTCTGAATATTAATTATCTGATAGTTGATATGTCCAAAATTTTAATTTTTCAGAATATGCTGTTGGTCTCGGACTTGTGGATATCGTTTGACTCTGGTTGAAAAAAAAAGCTTCGGATATGTCCTTACGGATCTTGTTATCGATATCAGATATGCATGACAATGTATTATTCATGCGCGTATACAGTAACGTGTCGAAGTAAAGTTCGGGAATAGGATAATGCGGTTCGGGAAAACATGAACAAATTAGTGGTCGCACGATTGAGTATTCAGCTGCGCCACTAAGATTAGTCATCTTGCGGAAATGTCCTGAGCCATTTACCGAACAACGCTTATCCATGACCAGATCCTAATACTAATCCATTACCGTCGCAAGAAACTTATGGATATCTTAAAGTAGGATATTTACCGTAATGTGAAGGGCGGTAGTCGAATGTTACACATTTTGCTTAAACTGATACTAATACATTTCACTGAGTCACGAAATTAAATACATCTCAACAAACACCAATCAGTGCTAGGTCCGGGGGTGTTTTTGTCGGAACAACGCCAGTTTCTAAAAGAAGTAAACGGATTGTCAATTAGTTTGTCACGAAAATTGTGTGTAATAAATAGTAAGAAAGAAAACCAAATTTACTTGTATCCCAACCGAGAATATTTAGGCAATTCTCAAACGAAATGTATTAAGGCAAAAAAGTACGTGTTGCTGGCCGTTTTTATTTTAATTGTATTACCAGTATGTAAAATTGTGTTCGCGCTTGCATTGACGCGGAAGGAAGGCAGATTTTTACTTGCTTAATGTGTCCCGCCATTACTTTTCGGGGGGACTGTACAATTTGATTTTAGTTACTGTCCATACCAAGGAAACAACTTAGTCGAGCCTTTATATTTAGTATGTTAGAAATAGAATTGGCGCATTCGACGTCTAGCGAACGTAACATTCAGGATGCAATTAATTTTGTGCCGAATCTTCGGGACAATGGTCCATTAAAATATGAGTTGCCCAATGATAGTGTGCCTAACGCACAAATATTTAACCAACTCGAACTTTCACTCAACATCACAATTTCAGCAGACGAGCTGTTCATTAGCATTTAGTGTATGATCATAAGATCACTTTAATTCACACTTCATTCTAGGCCGATTAATAGCTTAATGGAGGATAGATTCTCTTGAGGAATCAACAGATTAACATCGGAAACGCAAACACTAATGATTATTCTAATAAAGTACTTTTGGATGAGAAGTTGTAATATAAGAAAAGGATATACTTAAAGTACAGAGGCTAATGTAATAAAAATTATTGGTCGAGAAAAACGATTGGCGCCCCGTATAAAGCTTGATAACCGGAAAAAAAAAATGCGATTATGCTCGAATTGATTGTATTATCTATAATATGATTAGTATGTCTTGTCGTAAATCTATTATGCGTAATGTTATGTCTATAATTCGTCATTTCATTGATCGCATCAATATTTAAGATTAACAATAACGAAAAACAAAATTACAAATGAATTAAAGGCGGGGTTTCCCGTTTTTTCCATAAGAAAAGGCTTGAGATGCATATAGTCCATAGTGAAAGAATGCCTGATCCGGACCTCCCTTATGTTGTTTATAATGCATAGATTTAGTTCACGTTAATTAGGCCTGCAGGACACTGTAATGGTTGAAGATAGACAATTTAGTTGGTTATAAGAATTAATCATGAGTGATGCTAAAAAATCGTGCCAAACGTACCGCTGCAGCTTTTGGTTCAATTGAGTTAACCAGCGAAATGTCTATTGGGAAATAGGTATTTGTTGGGCTGCCCCTACGACGGCGGTATTAATGACTTGGAGGCCGCGTCCTGAATTATGTTGATCCAGATGATATTTCAATCCATTGGTGGGCTTAATATAGCCTGGATGGTGATGATCTAAATGGTATTTCAGACCATTCGGGTTCTTGTATGCTTTCGTACAACCGTCGATGTCGCACTTGTAGGGTTTCTCGGCGCAACGATCCCCATTCCCAGCTTGAGTACTATGACCGTGTGCTTTATGATATTTGAGACCGTTCGCATTCTTATATGTCTTCGGACACCCGACGACGGTACATCGAAAGGGTTTACTTGCTTCAGATTCCGCAACAGTTGAAGTTTTGACTACGGCGGAAGCATCAGGAGAAGACTGGATCACGGAAACAAGAGGCGTAGTAGCAGCAACCGGTTGACTAGGCTATATGGAATTAAAGCAGACGATTTAGAAACGGTATGAAGCAACGGATGCAACAATTCGTAGAATACATTATATGAATATACCATACCTGCATTGTACGTCGCTTGTTTACTGTTGTGGTAGAGTCTGTGGGACACGACTGCGTTCGCTTCAATCCACGAGGAGCATGAACAGGCGCGTCCTGGCCCTGTTCGTTTCTTGATGTGTTCATGTCATTATTCCTGATCCAACATGTATTAGAAGATACGCTGCAAAAGTTTTGTGACTGAATTAGAAAACGCTAATAAACATAGCAAAAAACATTCAAGGCTAGAGAATAAAGATAATATAAATATAGACATGAAATAGATATAATATACCATGTTTGATTGTTAATTAACTGTCCGCCTGCAGTATTTCTAGATTTTTTCTTGCTTGGTTTAGATGTTCCTGGCGGCCCGGAATAAACATCCGCCAAAGAAACTGTATTATGACCAGTTGCTGCGAATGTAGAGTTCGTTGAGGAATTAAATGCAAAGGTCGAAGTAATGTCTGAAGAATTTAAATAAAAAGTTTGAGATTACTTCGTCAAAGTGTTGCCTCTTAAAAATCAATTAATTCGTCTTACCGTGATCAGGCATACGACAAATTTCAGTCGGGGACGCAACGAGAACGTCTATATTTGTGAAACGAGTATTTATCGACAACGATGATGGCGCAGAAGCTGCAAAAGGCACCAAAATAGATTAGGGTAAGTTAAGAACCAATAGAAATTGCACCATTAATTCCTAGCAACATCACATACTTGGTGAGGTCAGATTATTCAGTTCACACCGTGTTGTAAGAGTGCTCGCATGAGACAGAGACACTGGAGTAACATCCTCAGAAGCTGGATATCCCGTTGTCGGAGAAACTGCGATTTGCCTTATTGCGCTGGACGAGGCGTAGTTAGGAGTGTACGGCACAGACATCAAATCGATTGGACCCGGATATTGGGTAGTGGTCGAAGGTAGAATAGAAGGAGCTGAACGACGTCTTTGCGGATCATTATAGTCGACCAAAGCCGTCCCAATATTGGATAATAGAGGAGAATCAGAGAATCGTATGCCAACCGAAGCGTTACCCGCTACATTATGTAATGATGATGCCATAGATATGCCCCCGATATTGCTTTGATGTAAAAGTCCAGGGATAACATACTGTTGATTTGCTGCCGCCAATGCGGGTATAAGTTCCATAGCATTATCAGAGTCAAATTGTGTCAGGCTCTGCGATAATTGACGTTGGCATGTTATATTGTGCGGATTACAGTTTTCCAGAGCCCACAGCGATTCAGCTCGTTGATAGTTATTAAGTAAGCCTTGTGCGATACTTTGAGCTGCTGCGTTATGCTGAGACTTTTTGGTGGCCGGCGGAGATGAAGCAAGAGCGGTAACGGTCGAACTCGGCGATGTTTCCATGACGTCACCTATCTGAGGGCTTTGACCGTCACGTGGAGTTTTAGGTGAGGACTGTGGCGAAAGATTGAGGTAAGGGGACGTTGAAAAGACCTCGGTATTGGGTGTCACAGAACCGATCCAGTCTTCTACAGCTGATTCAAAGTAAGGTTGAGGTAAACAGGATATTCCCTTATTCAAACAAAACTTAATCGCATATTCATAATTGCTGATACTTACGCAGGTTGTCAGAAGAATGTCGTATTTGACTGTGTCTGTAAAGGGCTTGCCAGCCCTCCAACACGAGGCCGCAACATTTATAAGATGGATCTTCAAACTTTTTCGGATCGGAGATCAAAGAAGACGCTTGATATAATTGATCATCAATTTCGTCTGAAGAGTAACTACCACCGTAGACATCAATGGGAATCTCTTCAGAACTCAAGAGTGATGTCAGAAATAATGGATTGTACCTAGAATTACCAAATAACAGGGAAGGAGTTATCTTTGGTATGAATTTACTATACAGTTGGTAATATATTATATATCGAATCATTCTAGTTTGCCCTTAAGTTGTAAGTATTTATAAAGACAAGTTGAAAAAGTGAATACTGTTGAGAAACAAGCGTAGTAGAATAAATATGCTTAGACTCGAATCGTGTGAATTCTCGCCAGATGGAGCGGGATAGATCACAACTAGCCAGTGAAATGAGGAAAGAAAATATTGGTTGTGAAGCTGTATAGAGAGACTTACTCTAGAGAAGCCGTGGTTTCGATTGGGGCGGCCGATGAGGGAGTTGGCGCGGTCGCAGTATAAGTTACGGGTTGTTCGTTCCAAGCATGTGTTCTCGAAGGTATGCTTGGGATTGGTATTGGCGAGGAGATAGAGCTCTCCATATGTGTCGGATCGTTAGCAGGTATCTCTGTAGCGTGAGGCATATTTGAACTTCCGATCGAGAACGCAGTAAACGGTAGACAGATTTCTGCAGGCTAAAGTCTGCGAAAGGGAGTTGCAAACGTAATCGAAAGTGATTATAGTTATGTATAATTTAAGACGATACCCTAAATCGTAAGGCAGTAGGATATAGTCTGGATTGATTTCTTAATAGGTTGAATGCGAACTAAATCGGAATGGCCAGTAATAATCGGATCGTGGGAGTATTATGTCAAGTGAAACTAATTGTTTCGGTGCGAAGCCGTTTCGATGCGTAAAACTTGGTTTTCGTTAGTTTTTTTTTTTTTTATTTTTTATTTATATTTTAATATTCTTGATTATATATATGTTTTGATTGATAAAGGTGAAAGAGAACGTGGATATTATCATAGAACGTTTGGAGTAAGAAGGGAAGACCCGACTTTTTGTGCTGAAATGTAAACCAGCAATATAAGAAATCGTTAAATCAAAGGGAACTAGAGAAAATGAAATGTGGAGTTGATATATATAAGTACAAAATTTTCGTGACCAAACTTGGAAAGGCGAGGCAAAAAAGTTACAAGTGTGTCGGCGTTGAGCTCAAAATACAATAGACATTGGAAAGTAATAAACAAAGATTTGTGATTAGAGCACACGAAATGTGTGTTGTACGGTATATAATAACTGATAATGTAATTTATACAAGCAGGTGTATATAAGTGCTAGTGCATTCATTCATTATATTTCTATTAATAAATATATGCATTCGGGCAACGGTTTAATAATATCATTGGATATCTGCAGTTAACACTTAACGACTAAGTGGAGTAAACAGGCAGTAACGACAACAATAACAACAATCTGACATTGACTGTCTGTACGCAGATGCAATATTATTTTTTACTTACTGTACATGACAGCTGCTACTGTTTGGATTATTTATTATTTGCACATCACAGCAGACAAGGGACACACCGACTTCAAAAGAAATACTTTACAATAACGAATAGCATCGGAGTAAGTTGTTCATTGATCAGTTTATTGTACAGTCACCAAGTACAAATCATATTAGCGAGGGAGTAGATAACGGAAATACTGATATAATACGATTTACGTCAATAAGTGCAGATATTCATTGTCATGTCTACGTCTATAACACGCAGTATTACCACGGCATTTACCACGGCATTTACCACGGCATTTGCTTACAATCAAGGTAGGTGTATTATAACCAAGATGGATCCAACAATATACGACCAAGATTAGCAATAGGTAATAATCATGCTGTACCGATTATACGCGTATCTATGACATCAATAGATATAGATTCATGCCTGCTTCTCCCATAAATCACTCATTATACCCATATAAAGCCCAAAGCTTACACTCCCCAAGACCTAAATGACAATCCACCACATGTTATGTTTTACATAAAAATGTATTACAACAATATCAATACCTTTCTAGATAGTCCATGTTTGTATGTGTGTGCCAGCATGCATCAACTGCAAATGTGGAATTGATTACTTGCCACTGACATCTAGATAATTGATATCCAATGTATGTGTAGTGATTGGGGGTTATACTGAATTTGTGTGTTGTTTACATCTGCATAATTGTCTTTAATGTGGAGTAACCAATGATTGCTATTGTGTATATGGGGTATTTGCATAGTGCATTCTGGTGATAATGGACTTATTATAGCTAATTGCAGCTATTGACTATGAGACGTTTCTTCTTTCGGATCAACATATATCGTAGCAGTAACAGAGAGCTATTGTTGATATCGAGCTAGTTACTCGTATGCAATCAGAATCAGGAGACTTATTGTGTGATGGCTGAGCGCTGGCTGTAGAAAGTAAATCGAACAGTGAAACACGACATAAATGTCAAAACATTTGACACATGGAATCCGTATAACCCCCGATTCCAGAGCTCCACCAACAGAAATTTCCATCAACAATAATCAGAGATCATCAGTAATTTATCTGTTGTCATACGATGATGCATCAACACATAATATCGTATGTACAATGATACATAACATATGATAAATAGCATATTATTAATGTATAGACAGCATGATGACAAACAACAACGACGACGACGACAACAATAAACAACAACAATAAACAACAACAACAACAACAACAACAACAACAACAACAACAACAGCAGCAGCAGCAGCAGCAAGCAACAACAACAGCAACAAAAGAAGCAGCACGCAGCAGCAGCAGCGGCGGCGGCGGCGGCGGCAGGAACAAACAGCACAATAGCAGCAGCAAGCAGCAGCAGCGGCAGCAACGGCAGCAACGGCAGCATCACAACAATAATACGCAATATGGTATTATATCATATACATGTAGCTCATGCCATAACAATCATACACCCTAAGAATTATATGTTTGGTGGTGTTTATGTTTATATTTTGTGGTCGGGATTATTACTATGACGCCGTACATGTTGCGGGGGATTCACCACCGTATAGTATTGTATGAGCCGACGAGCTAGTTAGTGTGCATTGTATGCGACGCACAGCTGATAAACTTACAGTAATCCATAATCCGCACAAAATAACATATGGTTATCCGTGAAATGCATCATATAACAATCAGTAGGCATTTATACATCATAATTATAATTGTCGTCTACTCGCTCTTCATTGCGTTTGGCGAGTATACGCCCGTCTTTCCCTATTACGCCTACATGTCTAAGTCAATGCTTGCTGGCGATCGCCCTTACCCCATACACTGTTTATAGACAACAGATCATATATTAATATCATTCATTTAATACATCAGGCATTATTACCCATGAGACAATGGATCTCATTGTTATGGCATTCTGTGTCCCTATTACATATTTCTTATTGGATCCTGGCTGTCACTTCAATTCCTTATCTTCTCTTGTTATTATTGTCAATCCTTTACTCGCTTTTTGCATCACATTTGGTTTTTACTTTTCTATTGCTGCGTTTTATGCCCCATTCTCTCTATCCATACTATTGTTCCTTAGCCCACCCTCTAAATACGGTAATGATAATAACCCGAAAGATAACAATCGTCACGTCTATGCGTTTTGTCTCTTTACCTAATACCCTGCTCAATGACGTTTTTGTTGATGTACAACACAATAAATAACTGGGCGTACATCAGCAAACAATGGTAAACTCGGAACAGTCATAGCACAATGCCCAAATACACATCCAATTACAAGCAGTAAGCATCACACGACCACATCTTACGATCGTACTACAAAAAACGAACACGTGAGCATTAAGTATCTATAAATCGATAGATATCAATTTACTGTTAAGGATAAAAATACAATCTTTGCTCATAGCTAACTGACTTTTGCTACTCACAATGCTGGAAGAAATCGAACCGCAACTGTTCGACGTGCAAAATCATCTCTCTTTATCAAACCAGTTACTCCGATCTTGCCATGAAACAGGTATAAATTTTCTGATAGTATGCTATGTGCATTGAATTAATATCAATAGACGACGGAATACCTTTCGCAATGCTATCAATGCTGTAATGAAGACCCGTAGTACTCCAATGCAGAAAACCCCCCAAAACGGTAAGTACACAAAATGTTATGCAGCACTTATCAATGATAACGACATTCTAATGAATCTAGATGAAATCGATACTGTTTCATGTGTTCGGCCTGTCTCCGTATTTATTTATTCCCCCATACATAACGACGTTGCTTATTTATGTGTCGCATACAATGGGGCTCTATCATAATGAATCTTCATATGGTATGCGGTATATGCAATCCCTGTTTGACAGCGTCTCACGTGGAAAGGTCTCCTGACATAATTACCTAATATTATTCTGGCAATAGAATGGGAAGTTGATAACAAATCATCGCTTGGGTCAGTGCAAGTAGATACCGCGACTAGTTTGAAGTTCTAAGCACCGAATCACCGCTCAATTGTGGTTTTGCTCTAAAAGGATGCTTATTATTGAATGAACTTTGGAGTGTTTTAGGATTTTAAGTTTTCCTTCAACATATCCGAGTTAGCAGCTGGTTTGTGATAACGAGTGTTCATCCAGTCTCTCTTTATTCTACTGGCATTTCCTGAAACTTAGGTTAGAGTTTTGCATTCGTCTAGTTAATCAAAACTTTTCAGTTGCCCATTCGCCAGAATTTAATGATAAAATCTTAAATTTTGCTTTATTGAAATTAATGTGTTGCAGACTGGAATAAAAAGCTCAAATTCTAATTTGTACATGGGCAACAAAACCAGACAAAGTGAACATTTGATCACATAAACTCGAAATAAACTAAAGGCTGATATGTTTTGGGAAGACTTTGCTTTAGTGGTGCAGCTGTGTTAATTGCATTTCCTACATATACAGTCTTGTCATTAACATTGATTGTCTATAATGATAATAACAAAAAGCAGGTCAGGATCAATCAAAGCTCTATTCCACATTTCCCAAAAGTAATAGCATGAAATAAAAACTAGCTTGCAAGCACAAAGAATTATTGCCTTGTTATTGTGTATTGTAAGGCAGGTCTAGGGGTATGATTGCTCTTTCTCTATTGTAAAAGCTATTATTTAATAAAAACAACCTGATGTACCTCGATGTGACTGATTGGTAGAAATTTACTTCATTGCCATCATAATCAACTCAAAATCATTTACACTCTTATGCATTGAGAATGTCCTCCCCTTCTAGCCTGTGGTAGCAAATGTATTATAATATTTGCGCATTTCTTTCTAGTCTTCAAAAGTCTATTTTGTCCAATGTAAATGAAGTAGTAGTAGGGCGACCTTGGGAGTCCTGGGGCAAATTTTCCAAATAGTGCAATAGCTATAAGAGAATCTAATATAGAATTCAGACTTTAAACTGGGCTGGGCTCTTTTCCCACTATTACTATCCAAATATTCTGGTATCAAACTTGGCTTTAAATTATAATTACCCCTCCATATACCAAGAATAAAACAAACTCTTATTATTATAGCCTTTCTAGCCCGATTTTAATCCCAATTAATATATCAAAAAATTAT